AACAATAGCTATATTTATTCTTCTCTACGTGACACCAATCAGCATACAACATAGTTATTTTCTTGGAATATATATATAAAAAGCCTACAATAATGTGGTACTAAGACATCACAAGGTACTTGTTTCTGGTATTTTACGATGAATACATGTTATACTCAATACCAGTTATCAATATTCTAAACAACAGTTTGGATATCAAACAACGAGTTCGACAAAATAGACAAATAAATAACTTGATTTGAACATCCAGTTTCACATGTTGTATCAATTAAATCATATTAGTGTAAAAATCATCGATGGTCATCAATGATGATTGTTTTCGACTATATAGTACACACGACTTACATTAGTAACTGTAGTAATTAAACACAGTAGAACAGCCCGTTAATTAAATGTATTTTGTTAATTCTGGATTTAACATAAATTTACTCGAAGCCGATAGTACTATTTATGAAAAAATAGAAGTGACATGCCGGTGTCATATAATATTTATATCACCTGTCCTAAAAGTTCCCGGATACATTTCACCATCATAAAATATCCGGGTATACTTTTTGCCCATCAGAAAAGTATATCCCTATAATAGCCTCTATAGTAATTGTATCCACGCTCCCCTTTGAGATCAATACTATAACTTTGTATCTGTTATACAAGTTCACTGTTTATACTTTGGTTGGTAGCCACCTATACCAGGGGTACCTGTACAGTAACCCCTGGTATCGGTGGCTAACTGATTGACAGGCCTGTGTGACGTAGTATGTATTAGGTCACGTGATGTTTTTTATATATCTGTCTTTGGTGTTGGTATACATAACACAAGCTGTGAGTATTTGATAGCAGAGCGAGGACAAAAAAAATATGTTATTTGAACTGTTTATGTTTTACCAGGTACTGATTTTGCGTACCGGCAAACAAGAAAAATCAAATCAGTTTATACAAACTGTTTTAGAAATTGTCGTAAGAAATATTTTTAAAAATGTAGTACATACCACAACAGCATACTTTCGTGAAGCTACACATCTAAGGAAAAGCTTCGATTAAGTTAAACATTTCTACATGAACAAGAAGTCACATATTACCATCGGTGCCGGGACGGTTACGACTTCTGGACATTTACAGGTACAATTTACAGGACCCGGCTCACTGTTTACTTCCTGGGCGGCACCTACAAAAGGGAAGCAAGGATATCCTATGACAATCGTATCCGCCATTCATTCAACAATTCTTAACTCAACGGCACTAATTCTGTTTACTTTAGACTGCATAAGTTATTGTTTAAAATCTCTTAACGTCAACGCTATAGCAACAATGTATCACAAATACAACATCTATTCTCGTTTGTTAAATATCACCAATAATTCATACTAAGACGTATTTATACTTATCTATGTTTACGACGACAAGAAAGTTAATTTAGAAAAAAATATCCAAATAAAAAAGAAGCAAAATTAAGTCTGCTTTGACACTTCATTAATGACTATTTTTAAAATGGAAAATGTATGACGTAAGGGATGGATGACAATTACACGCAATGACGTCACACAACCGTCATCAGGTTTTTTATTCGTCATAAACCACTCACCTTGAGATGTTTTTAGTTGAAAAGTTAACCAGGTGCTGAACAATTTGCTTGGTGTCTATCAAAGGAAGAGTATGTTAGAATATTCTGATATATACCTTTGGTCTTTGTCTTTTGATAATGTTACTCAAAACGTGATATATTGGGTAAGTAATTTGTTCAGAGCGTGTTATAACACGATTTAAAACACGATACTATGATACCAATTATCGCAAAGATTATTATCATTTTGCCGTATTGTTCATGTGAGAAACACAAACCGCCACAAGCCGGGATAGTCGAAACACTCTACCGACTAATTTATTGGGACCGTGGGTGTCCTCTCTATTAATGTAATGAACTACTGTTGCTGCGTATAACACAATCAAAGCTTGGAATTATGAAATTCTTGTTTCAACATAAATGGTTTGTTTTCTTTTAAAAAGACAGTCTAATTGTACAAGTGGTAGATGATGCTATTAGAATCTTTAATTCCCCAGAGGTGTACTAAACTCCACATTCCCCTTTTTAACTTATGCGAATTGTTGCACAAATTCATGAACTTCACATTCTTCTGAAATCATATTTACGAAATCACGAACTTTATTAGGTTATGAAACTAGTGCACCTCCTTCTCAAGGTTTTGGTGTTCTTTTCAATCAATTTGATTTTCCTTAGTCGCCTCCTAGGTTTCAAGAGTTAGGTTCTCAACATCACTGATGAATTCTAGAAGTATGAAACAAGTGTATAGTTCACATCGATTTGTAGCTGGACTCAGTAGTTATCTAAAGATCTACACACATGTAAGTCAATGGATGGAACGGACGTGATTGTCCCGAGCTCCGCTAGGCGATGAGTCCAACATTACCAATTTACATCGTAAACAAGGACAGATTGTAGTTTAGTTTAGTAGAGAAGTGCTAAAGGCACTACCGACTCACAGTTAAAATTTCAAAAGATGTGAAAACAGGAAACGGTTAAAATACGCTGAACATCAGCATGCCGGAACCGGCCGGAAAGCATGGCGACGTAAATAAACAACATGATAATGATACAGCGGTCCGCGCGACAAGATCCTCAAGTAGAACTGGGGCTAAAACGGTCACCGGAAGCCGTTCTCTTTTCCGTGGGATGGAGATTGCTGCAAGGTTTGCGCAGTTATACCGGACTCAAACACAAAAGCGATGAAGTGTCGCAGATGTAGTCTTCAATACTGCATTAAATGTGTAAACAAGGATGAAGATGAACATGACGTATTAACAAAATCAGCAGATTCTATATGGTTTTGTCCTCCCTGTCTCGCTACTGTAGAGAAAAATCTCGAAACAGTCATCCAAATCGAACAAAAATGTGCCGAAATCATGGAGATCATCGAGGACAGAATCAAATCCCCGGAGAATTTGATACAGAGCAAGGGCAACGAGGAACATGTTAAGGAAATAATTAGAAAAGAGGTAAGCAAATTCACAGAAGAGGGTAGAAAATTTGTGCACACCAAGCACAATATTGCTGATAAAGATGCATAGCAAGATGCTATCTCAGAACTGAATGAGAAAAAATCTAGGAAATCCAACATCGTTGTATTCGGCGTAAAGAAGCAAACTGTTACCGACGGGCGGGCAAGGAAAATTGTAGACGAGAAGGAAATACAGGAAAAGTTTGAGACATACAAAGTGAAATATGAGGACAATGTCGCCAAAGTATTTAGACTTGGCAAGTACGATCAATCCATCAACCAATCTAGGCCTATCTTAGTTTCTTTTTCATCGACCGAGAAAAAGAAAGTTTTCATTAAAAACATATCTGTACCTAAGAACAATGAGAAATACAGCATCATCCGGATCAGTAACGATCATACCATAAAGGAACGAGAAGAGGAAACCGCCCGGAGATAAGAGGTAAAATCAAGAGAATTAAATGAGACAGGGGAATATATACTACGGGTACGGGGAACGCCGTGGAACAGGAGGATGGTACGGCTGGCAGTGAAAAGGGCATAATAAAACGCACACATAAACTCCGATGCATGTTTACAAACGCTGACACACTCACAAACAAAACAAAATTCAAGGTACCGGATAAACAAATCTAAGTTGAGCATAGAAGGCTTCGAGGTTTTTCCTGGGGAAATAAAACAAGACCGTGGATTGAGAGGAATCATTATATACACGGCACAAAATATTGGAGCAACGTAAATAACAATTAAGAATAAGTTTTACGAGCAGTTGTGGATCAAAATTAATCAGGATAAAGGAAATGTCTTAACAATCGGATGCCTTTACAGGAGTCTTAACAGCGTAGGTGAAAATAATTTGGCACTCTAAGATATACCAATGTAGAGGAAATAAAAAAAAAACACTTTCTGATAATGGGAGACTTCAACTTGAAAAATACAGACTGGCATCAATGGATACCGTCTAGGGGATCAAATAGTCTGGTATATAAATTTCTAGAGGCAGTGAAGGACTAATTTCTGTTTCAGCATATCAATAATCCAACAAGAGAAAGAGCGAATAACGAGCCCAGCATTCTAGAAATGCTATTTTCAAATGAACAGAATATGATAAGTAATACTGAAATACGAAGCGGAATGAGAAGAGTGATCACGGTACTATATTTTTTTTTATTTTAGCTGTACAAAAACATTTTGCTTTAGCAAAACAATAGGTATAGTTATAACAAAGGGACTATGAACAAATTAGAAAAGAGCTATTGAAGGATTGGAAGGAAACAATAAGTCGAGCGTCGGACACAAAATCAAAATACGAAATCTTTCATTAGATAATGAAATCCGCCATTGATCGATATATACCTAAAAGCATCCACAAAGCAAACAAAAGACAGAATCCTCTAGATAGCCAAACTGTACAGGCCATTAAACGGAAGCATAGAAGCTGGCAGAGATACCCCGAAACAAGGCGAGAATTACAATGAATATGTATTGGCCAGAAATAAAGTAAAAACTTAGGTAAGAAAATGTAAAAGAAATTTGGAGCACGAGACCGCACAGGCAGTAAAAACTAACCCTAAGAAGTTTTGGAGATATGCAAACTCAAAAACGAAAACAACATCCGGAATCTCTTACCTGCACATCAAGCGTGGAAACGAAACATTAGTCGCTAAAAATGATAAAGATAAGACGAATGCATTAGCAAACTTTTTCTTATTATTATATCGTTATTATAATAAACTTTCACGTAACATAAAAGGACACGATTTAACAAGTAGAAATGGACAGAATTATCCAAATCATACTTTAAAAACACAAATTTCTTAATTGTGAATAATGAGTGCATTTTCACTACTGAAAGGCAAAATGATGACGTCATGATATCTATATGACATGCACCAATTTCTATCATCGAATTTGTACACAGAATAAAACTGGATAAGGGGAGGCAACCGATGAAAGTAATTGTTATTGTACAACATTCTTAGGATCATGCAAAAGACAGGTAAGTGAAGACAGCTTTCATTATAAATATAGCCCTTGTTGTCACAAAGAAAATAACAAAGAACAGGTCCGTTCTCCACACTTTAAATCAGGGCTGAATACAGTGAATCGGGGCCTGCAATATAGCATACAGAATTTAGCTTTATTGTTATAAGGTACAAACGATTAAAAGGAGCTAAAATAACACCGAATATAAAACCAATCATTGCATGGTACTTACCAGGGGAAGAATTAAGTGGAGGCTCTCCCGGCCAGGTGCGGAGTGAAAGGTGAAAGTGAATAACCACACATGCGCAGCTCACTCACTTTCACTCCAGACCTCACAGCGCGACCTTATTTCGCGCGCGCTGGCGGCATTGTAAATCAATTACAGGGTACCTGTTTACATAAATTGAAGATTATATACAGTATATCTATATGAATATTTTATACAATATAGCTGTTTTGTCCTTCTAGTGATATTCAGATAGTACGAGGCGACTTATTAAAAGCGATCAAAATGTTGAAATAGAAATTAAGAACTCACTCTTTAATTCAATACATTTTGTAATTTTCAATAAAATAAGTTTAACAAAATGTCTAGGACTCAAAAGATACTCCTATTTCCTATTTTTTTTAAATTTATTTTCTTTTCCCCCGCCTGAGATAAGCGAGTCTATATTTTAATCACTACGACATGGATCTAAACAGAGAGTCCTGATAATGAATATAATAAAAAACAAAAGCTTCAGAGATTCCTTTTGAAGATTAAAACATAATGACTATAGTCATTTGTTTTTGTCATATTAATTATCATCAATCTGTTCTTACTACATAAAAAAACTGATATCAAAAGGTATATCTTAGAGTGCCTACTATTTAGTTAAATCTTTAAATACACACTTACATAATTATACATATATATAATCCACACAGAAAAGACCTACACATCAGCACGGTCTTAATTTAAGCTCATTATAGATTAAAAGAGTAGAAAATATATAAAAAAATAGACATTAAAATTAACAATTGTTCCGGAAGGGTAAGCGTCATATGCTACATCAACGAAAACAACTTAAACATATGAACAAAGAAAATACGATATACAAATATCGACGAACAAATCAAATTAAATTTTACTTGAGTCAACAAAATATTTCCAAATGAGATCATTGTTACAACCATCAACTACCTCATTAATTGCATGCCTTGATACTTTGTATTGTCAACTACAATCTGTAAACACATGTATGTACCATAAGATGGGACAGAAAAAGACATGTGACGATCGTGATAAATAGAATATAGAAAAATCAAAATCATCACGCTCAGCATCACAGAGCTGGGTATCGCTCTAGGAAAAGTTGAAGGTAAGTGGGTGATGTAAAAAAAGTTTTTTGTGTCAATGATTTCCAATTCTGGTTGGTATATGTAATGATATTAACTATATTTCGTTTTATCTAAAAGCAAGATGTCAATGCATCTAAATGTGAAATAGATGAACATCGCAATGTGTTTGTGATCTAGCTTGATAAGGAAAAAATGGCCAGACAAATAAGAGTCGGGTGTCCCAAATGTTCGATGAAAATCGCACTACCGAACAAGACAGAGCCATTGTCAATCCGAAACTCGATTCTTTTCACGGTTTCGGCCGTTTCAAGGACATTAATCGTATATTACAATCAATTAGTAATACAGGGGTTCATCTTTTCTTTAAACGAAAACTCGTTTGACCCCAGAATTGGGATGTTCCTTATCATTAATAGGTCAATGATATATACAGAGTAGAAAAATTATTTTGTCTGTTTGATAAAGAATGGTAGGAGGAAGCATTAATAAGGGTTTGGTTTAACATTCAACCAAATTAAACTCACGTTATTTGAAGTCTTTTGAAACTTCGGGATACAATATAAACGAGGGAGGTCCGTATCAATAACACAAATTGGCAATGTGGCTGATTGTTAAACTGAAGCATGATCAGGTAGTGTTTATTTTTATCTTATTCATTTATTTGTTTTTGATACAGCAGATTAATTAAAGATTGATACATTGAATGATATTCTATGGAATTCAAAAATATGAAATGCACAATTCATTTGATAGTTTTCATGAAACGTCCTTTAGGATTTACATTTTAAATGATATCCTGTATCAGAAATTTCTATGTATCAAGATGCACCATTATTTTGAGGAAATATAAAACAATATCAGATGGAGTATTTATTACGATATCGACAATAAACACGTTTAATGATAGTGGGCAAACAATTACAACTGGTAATTAAAATCTAAGAGACTTTGGATCAACATCAATTGATTTATTCGGTACATTATGTAAATTAATTAATATTTGTACATCAACATTTTTACAAATTTAGAGTTCGATACACTAGAGCCATGCAGTGAGTTAAACTGCATTATACAACTGTTCCGTTCTTTTAAGATGCTAAGGTCCTAATTTTTGGAAACCTGAGAGAATGAAAAATGAAGACACATCTATAGAAAATGTAAAAAAAAAATCTACCACCAGCCCAATTAATCCAATATTTTCCCATTTTTTATTAATTACTATTAAATGAATTTAATAATTAATGAATTTGATAATTTCAAAAGAATGTCACGTGTATTATCATGCAAAGCATATCCATTTAAGTTTACTAAACACAGCGTGCTTTTAAATAGAACCGTCATTTTTGATAACTGTATCTACAATGATATTGGATAAAAGACAATTTTTGAAAGCAGTTGTAGAAAATATTACTCAAATATTATTAGATAAAGTTATAATTACCACTTCAGAAAACATTAGGATGATACTTTCAGCCACCTTAAGCTATTACACTTTACTAAATAACTTGATGATCAAGTTTCTGGCAATTCATCCTTCTTTATAAACAGAAAAAATGCTGGAAAAGAGCCACAAAATTTCGCTTAACAAGGTCTACTGATTTCTATTTAACTAATAAAACAACAATAGAACAAGGTAATTCTACTTACGAGCAAGAGAACAGCAATGAAAGATAAATATATGTTTCATATTCATATGATTGAACGAAACCACACTCTCAATTCAAAAACCAAATAACAGCGTATCAGGGAGAGAGGTTGACGGACAGCTTAGTGTCTAATAATAGTGTTTACAGACAGTGTGATATTAGAGAACGATGTTTACAGACAGTGTTATATCAGAGAACGATGTTTACAGACAGTGTGATATCAGAGAACGGTGTTTACAGACATTGTGATATCAGAGAACGGTGTTTACAGACAGTGTGATATTAGAGAACGGTGTTTACAGACAGTGTGATATTAGAGAACGATGTTTACAGACAGTGTGATATCAGAGAACGATGTTGACAGACAGTGTGATACAGAGATGGTGTTGACAGACAGTGTGATATCAGAGAACGGTGTTTACAGACAGTGTGATATCAGAGAACGGTGTTTACAGACAGTGTGATATCAGAGAACGGTGTTTACAGACAGTGTGATATCAGAGAACGGTGTTTACAGACAGTGTGATATTAGAGAACGGTGTTTACAGACAGTGTGATATCAGAGAACGGTGTTTACAGACAGTGTGATATCAGAGAACGGTGTTTACAGACAGTGTGATATCAGAGAACGGTGTTTACAGACAGTGTGATATCAGAGAACGGTGTTTACAGACAGTGTGATATCAGAGAACGGTGTTTACAGACAGTGTGATATCAGAGAACGGTGTTTACAGACAGTGTGATATCAGAGAACGGTGTTTACAGACAGTGTGATATCAGAGAACGGTGTTTACAGACAGTGTGATATCAGAGAACGGTGTTTACAGACAGTGTGATATCAGAGAACGGTGTTTACAGACAGTGTGATATCAGAGAACGGTGTTTACAGACAGTGTGATATCAGAGAACGGTGTTTACAGACAGTGTGATATCAGAGAACGGTGTTTACAGACAGTGTGATATCAGAGAACGGTGTTTACAGACAGTGTGATATCAGAGAACGGTGTTTACAGACAGTGTGATATCAGAGAACGGTGTTTACAGACAGTGTGATATCAGAGAACGGTGTTTACAGACAGTGTGATATCAGAGAACGGTGTTTACAGACAGTGTGATATCAGAGAACGGTGTTTACAGACAGTGTGATATCAGAGAACGGTGTTTACAGACAGTGTGATATCAGAGAACGGTGTTTACAGACAGTGTGATATCAGAGAACGGTGTTTACAGACAGTGTGATATCAGAGAACTGTGTCGACAGACAGTGTGATATCAGAGAACGGTGTTTACAGACAGTGTGATATCAGAGAACGGTGTTTACAGACAATGTGATATTTGAGAACGGTGTTTACAGACAGTGTGATATCTGGGAACTGTGTTTACAGACAGTGTGATATCAGAGAACGGTGTTTACAGACAGTGTGATATCAGAGAACGGTGTTGACAGACAGTGTGATATCAGAGAACGGTGTTTACAGACAGTGTGATATCAGAGAACGGTGTTTACAGACAGTGTGATATCAGAGAACAGTGTGATATCAGAGGTGTTTACAGACAGTGTGATATCAGAGAACGGTGTTTACAGACAGTGTGATATCAGAGAACGGTGTTTACAGACAGTGTGATATCAGAGAACGGTGTTTACAGACAGTGTGATATCAGAGAACGGTGTTGACAGACAGTGTGATATCAGAGAACGGTGTTTACAGACAGTGTGATATCAGAGAACGGTGTTTACAGACAGTGTGATATCAGAGAACGGTGTTTACAGACAGTGTGATATCAGAGAACGGTGTTTACAGACAGTGTGATATCAGTGTGAACGGTGTTTACAGACAGTGTGATATCAGAGAACGGTGTTTACAGACAGTGTGATATCAGAGAACGGTGTTTACAGACAGTGTGATATCAGAGAACGGTGTTTACAGACAGTGTGATATCAGAGAACGGTGTTTACAGACAGTGTGATATCAGAGAACGGTGTTTACAGACAGTGTGATATCAGAGAACGGTGTTTACAGACAGT